TATATACACCCTCTTTTTATACTGTATATACACTGAGAGGTATACACCTCTCATTGTATATACACTGAGATATATATACACCTCTCTGTGTATACTGTATATGCACTGAGAGGTATACACTTCTCATTGTATATACACTGAGATATATATACACCTCTCTGTGTATACTGTATATACACTGAGAAATATACATCTCTCATTGTATATACACTGAGATATATATACACCTCTCTGTGTATACTGCATATACACTGAGAAATATATACTCCTATCAGTGTATACATTGAGAGGTATACACCTCTCTGTGTATATACACACAAAGAATATACCCATATATTCGTACCAAATTTTGAGGGCCTCCAGGAGCCCATAACAACAGATTAAATCCCTCTCACTACCTCTCAAAAAACTGAATAAATTCTCCCTAGATTCTAACCTGTGGTTAGAAAATCTATATAGAATTTTATAGACGTTTTCCGAGGCCATATAGACGAATTTGTCTTGAAGAAACGTTGCCAGAAAGCGAAACGTTCTATAGAAGGTGAGGAATGGAATACATTTGGTCCTTTACGAGATTTTTACGACCTGTTGTGTTGGTAACGAATGTGAGGGATAGAGAGAATAGGGAAGAATAGGGGAGAAGGGGAGGTAGAGACGGGAGAGAAGAGGGGAATGGAGGTAGGAAGAGGCAGAGAGGGGAGAGAAGATGGGAATGGAGGTAGGAAGAGGCAGAGAGGGAAGAGAAGAGGGGAATGGAGGTAAGAAGAGGCAGAGAGGGGAGAGAAGAGGGGAATGGAGGTAGGAAGAGGCAGAGAGGGGAGAGAAGAGGTATTGGAGGAAGGAGGAGGTAGAGAGGGGTGAATTGGGACGTACATAGGATAAAGAAGGAAGCGAAGGAGGAACGTAGGATAAAAGAAGGAAGAGAAACGAGAAGAGAATAATGGTAACAATAATAATAATAACCTCCCCTCCTCCCCACTATCCTCTCCAGAGAGGGGAGAAGTAATGGGGTGACAAATAAGTGGGCAGGGTTTTATAGCTAAAATTGCTCCCTTGTTGATGATCCTCTTGTATACCTCCACTGGTGACAACACTGGTGACAACACTGGTGACAACACTGGTGACAGTTGTAGACCTGGAGAATATACAGAGAACTTTCACTACTCTAATATGTACAATAAAACACCTCAATTACTGGGAACGGTTGATATCCTTTAGCTTGTACTCCCTGGAACACAGGAGAGAAAGATATATCATGATTTATTCCTGGAAAATCCTAGACGGACTAGTCCCAAATCTGCACACTGAAATCACTCCCTAGGAAAGCAAAAGACTTGAATTTTCCCAATAGACAATATTTAAGACCAGGATCAAGGTGACATACCTGGAGTTTACCTGGAAGCTGAGGACACAGATGAGCCATAGGGATGTTAGGAGGTATTTCTGTAGCCTTAGGCTAGTTGAAAAGTGGGATGGTTTGGATGAGGCAGTAGCGGTGGAGGCAGACTCAATACACGGCTTCAGGAGTGGGTATGAAGTCAGGGATGTTGATTATTGTGGTGTAGGAGTCGGGTCCAGGAGCTGAGGCTCAACACCTTCAAGCATAAATTAGTGTGTACACACATACACGCACACACACACACACACACACACACACCTAGAAAGGAATGATCTCATCAACAGCAGCCAGCATGGTTTCAGGGACGGGGAAATCCTGTGTCACAAACCTACTGGAGTTCTATGACATGGTGACAGCAGTAAGACAAGAGAGAGAGGGGTGGGTGGATTGCATTTTCTTGGACTGCAGGAAGGCGTTTGACACAGTTCCACACAAGAGATTGGTGCAAAAACTGGAGGACCAAGCAGGATAACAGGAAGGCACTACAATGGATCAGGGAATACTTGTCAGGAAGACAGCAGCGAGTCATGGTACGTGGCGAGGTGTCAGAGTGGGCACCTGTGACCAGCGGGGTCCCGCAGGGGTCAGTCCTACGACCAGTGCGTGTTTCTGGTATTTGTGAACGACATGACGGAAGGAATAGACTCTGAGGTGTCCCTGTTTGCAGATGACGTGAAGTTGATGAGAAGAATACAATCGATCGAAGACCAGGCAGAACTACAAAGGGATCTAGACAGGCTGCAGACCTGGTCCAGCAATTGGCTCCTGGAGTTCAATCCCACCAAGTGCAAAGTCATGAAGATTGGGGAAGGGCAAAGAAGGCCGCAGACGGAGTACAGTCTAGGGGTCAGAGACTACAAACCTCACTCAAGGAAAAAGATCTTGGGTGAGTATAACACCAGGCACATCTCCTGAAGCGCACATCAACCAAATAACTGCTGCAGCATATGGGCGCCTAGCAAACCTCAGAACAGCATTCCGACATCTTAATAAGGAATCGTTCAGGACCCTGTACACCGTGTAAGTTAGGCTCATATTGGAGTATGCGGCACCAGTTTGGAACCCACACCTAGCCAAGCACGTAAAGAAACTAGAGAAAGTGCAAAGGTTTGCAACAAGACTAGTCCCAGAGCTAAGAGGTATGTCCTACGAGGAGAGGTTAAGGGAAATCAACCTGACGACACTGGAGGACAGGAGAGATAGGGGGGACATGATAACGACATACAAAATACTGAGAGGAATTGACAAGGTGGACAAAGACAGGATGTTCCAGAGATTGGACACAGTAACAAGGGACACAGTTGGAAGCTGAAGACACAGATGAATCACAGGGATGGTTAGGAAGTATTTCTTCAGCCACAGAGTAGTCAGTAAGTGGAACAGTTTGGGAAGCGATG